CAATTAGTCAAGTCTAATAAACATGAAAACTAAAAAGAAACAGAAGAAAAAACGATAAAATCCAATGAAAAAGCAAGCCAGTCAAGGAAAAATATCGCGTCCTATCGATTTTCGGGAGGCGGGGTGAGTACGGTAATTGCAGTGACATTCGCCGCATGCCGCAAGGGAGAATGCCGCGATAGGGGAGAAGTTCCGTTACCCGGGCAATCGCAGTGGAAAGCGTGAGAACAAAACAGTGTTTTCGATTGATGTGAGAGCGTAGCATTGCGACTTATACATCTAAAATCTCTCAGTTTTGGAGTCAAAAGACAATCAATCGGTTTAGTATTCGTCGGTTTTGACCGCTGCCGCTTTATATTGTTCCATGTTGTGAACTTTCCGCACAGGCTGCTGTGAAAGCCCTTTGACTGTAGGCGGCTCTCTTAATTCTTTACTAGGAATAATCTGATTTCTCCCATTCTCAACATGCCGAAGCAGATGTCGAGTGTGCTAAATTTTGCCCCAAATAAACTTGGAAGAGTGAAAAACATTTGAAATGAAAATATTTGCAAAAGATAATGTGAAAGCTGTAGAGATCCAGAAGGGTCTTTCTAACGCTCACATCTTTTCAGATATCTCTCTAGTAGGTAGTGCACAAGGCGCTTTATGAAAAGAAGGAGAAGCCATAGTTTTTTTTTTCGCCAGTTAACTGAACAGCAGTATTCGGGGTAACATTGTGTTCAGGTCAGGTAGCCCATTGAAAAAAGTCAAGTTTTCGGTCATTTGAGGCTCTGTCTAACCCATATATGGTCGTAGCTCATGAATTCGTTATATTATGTGCGGGTTGCTATTCCGTTAAGAAGAAATCATCGCATGATAATTGTTTTAGGTCTCACAAGATGTGCCTCGGCTTTTGATCAATAAGGAACAAGCTGGACGCTCCAGTATTGTTGAACGAGCGATGGGCATCCAAGGATTATGCTATGGGACGAAAGAAAATAGGAGGTAAGAAAGTTCGCCTCTGTCAGACAGTGTTACACAAACTTCAATAAAGACTACACGATTAAACGGTTCATTTGAAAGATGCATGGCTTCTGATGTGTCTGTATGTTTGGCTTTTAAAACACCTGTATCACCTATCGTCCCGTTGATCATCGATTTCCTCGAGCGGGCGCCAGTAACGTATCCATTCGTCTCTGCTCCGAGCCGGAATGGTCTAGAGGATCGCCTTCGCTTCAGTACGATCCACAGGACCACTCATAAACAGTGAAGGCTATCTCTACCTGCACTATAAATGTTCGAACTAACTTCACGATAATAGCAACTTAATATTAGTGATAGTATGATTCCCAGTTTGCAAATATAAGATACGTGCACAACATTAATCCATTCAGTCTACGATAGCAAAGGGACCAACTTGAGTGAAATCATTGCATTTACCATATATAAACAGTCAGATTTCCATGACGTTTTAGGCAGCAGGAAGAAAGCGGATTAACGTAGGAAGTGTCTTTAAATATGATGTAGGTGTTTGCTCATCATGCGCAGGTCTTTGATAGGCAGTGTTCACTGTGAATTTTTGGCTGTGTTCGAAAAGCCTAGATTTCGGCGAAAAGGTGGAGTTAAGCAATGTTCAGGATGGGTCACCCATCATGGGCGGACCTTACCACATAGGGCGGAGCTCTGTGTCATGAATTGGAGCCCATATCGAAAATAGGCAACGCGGTCTCGGTATGGTCGCGCGTTGCAGAATACTTCGAAGGTGCAGGAAGAATGGAAATGTCAAATTTTTAAGATAGTGGCTGGGTTCGGTTTTGTATCAAGCGTTATTTCAGTGAATGTAGTCGTAGAGCATGAAAGATTGCAGGCAAGGCTGTCAGTAGAAATCAGTAAGTTTCTAGGTGAGTATGGTTTATAGTCGATTGAGCTCATATCGCTACGTATAAAATTAGGATACCATGTCGCACGAAACACATAAGATGGTAACGCCAAATGTGTTCTTGAACGCTTGTCTCGAATCTGCAAAACAACTCTGGGCGAGAGCTGCTAAGACAATTTCTTCCACTTAAATGCTGGGCATCTTGAAGAACAAGTCGACTACATTTAGTTCATATGCAGCGGGTGACGTAGCTGCTAATGCGGTGAACTCACAGAAGATTCGCATCTTTTATGAATGAGCTTTTTTTGCTTTTTCATGAAGCGAGTGCCATGGGTTTGCAAAACAGTCTCACTTTCCATATTGGCTATGTGCAGCTCTCACCTTGATGAACTCCCGAAATAATTTTCTAAAAAAGTTCCGTTCTGATTTCTAATCCAAAAGGATGCGTCTTCCAATCCAAGAACGAAATCTTTGTTCATAATAGGGATTCTTAAAATCCAAGTCCCATTAACATTCGCGACATTTTCAACTTCGTGCAGAATATGTCGTGGGTTGCAGTGCACCCTGATCAAGCGACTTTCCTACTAGTTTCGTCGGAATGGGAAATAGAAAACAAGGCACCAACAAAACTTGGGGAATACCCTGAATATAGTATGGAGAACCTTAAAGAGAGTGTGATTCTATCTTGAAGGCACAGTACACGATGATTTTGAGGTACCCATTTTAAGTTGATAAGAGGAAATGTTGATGTAGATTAGTGCATCGGTGCCGAAGAAAGTGAGTGAATCCGCCTACTTCGCGACAAAAAGCTTTCCAAAAGTGGCAGTAGAGATCGTACGAGATTACCATGACGGAAAGGCATGGAATGGGTATTCGGACGAGATTTTAGTTGTTACAATTGCACAAAAAGCTGGCCACATAGAGTCAAAATTGTCTTCAGCTGCCTTCCACTGTCGCCAGAGGTCATGACAAGTTTTTTTTTTCGTCCATGAGCTTCACTCTATGGATTAGGTGAATTAGCCATCGTGTTATTCTTGGAAGGTCAGGGAAAGTCCCACACTTCCTCGCATGAAAAGCGCATTTGGTTTCATTAATTGGAAACATCTCGCAAGTATCCTGTTCAATCCGTTGTTCTCCTCTCATTTTTAGATGGAAGACGAAAAGTTTGAAAATCCTTGCTAATCCTGCTCGCCGGACACCATTGGAGGAAAGCTCCCTTAAGTTCGTTCCAAGAACTGTTTTGCAAATGTAATGGGATGTACAGAGATTTGAGTTCAACATACAGAAACACAAATGGCGATAATCATTTCGTCTTGAGCGACCCAGTGCTTTTAACTTGCTAGACCTCTGTTTTGTCGCCCTTGCTCCCTCATCAGGCTGGTACTGAAAAAATTCTACTATAGCCAGTGAACCATTTGAGAGTTTTTTATTTTAAATTATTTATTTTAAGTGTAGTAAATAATTATCATCGAGATAATCTTAAAAAACACTGATTTCACTTCAATCCGGGTACCTCAGCTGTTTCAGTCGGACAACACTGAACGCTATCACTATTCACGATTGCGTCAGTGGATAGGTAATGGATTGAGGTGAGAAGCGTGCTAGGGGAAATACCGGATTATGTTCAACCATGAATACTATTCCTGGGACTGTGACCTCGAGATCATTGTTATTTACGAGTAAACTGATATGATCGAGCGCATCAGTACATGCCATCATTTTTCAAATGAAGCTACCATTTTAGGTAAACGAGGGAATAGTGTGTTTCCACAACGACAGTAAAACTTCGTTTAGGTTCCCTTGTCAGTATTATCAGGGTAAGTTAGTCGGGACGAAGGTTTCACTGATGCGACACCGCTTTTCTTGTAGATAAGCAGGCGCGTTGATAAAGTTACCCTAGAGGAAAGGTTTGTGGATATGAAGACGACCTATATTTATGAATGCGATCGGTAAAAATCAAATTGATTCCCGTCACTATTTCAAAATAAGGGAACAATCACTCCATCGCTAAATCCCCATTTCTACGTTTTTCTCTCGTTTCAGGGATGTTTTTTGGAGCGGTTCATGTGATGATGGATGTCGACGGTTAGCGGAACTATTGGATTGGGAGCACGAGCTGGATCAGCTCATACAAGAGGGTGAGGTGAAATACAAAGTGAAACCAAAGTGAGCGCGCTTATATTGTATAGATTTTGATAACAAAATAATTCCGAGTATCGAAACGTTTGTTTATTTCCATTCGTTACGGAGATCACCGTTCCCGTGTGTACATTATAATTATACTGAAATTATAATTATAACTATAATTATACTGTTATGCTAACTTGAAACGCTTCTGCGATAATTATTTTTCGTTCAGGGTTGTGTAGTTCCTGCTTTTTTAGTGGTTCTGATGCAACGGAATGAGGTTGTTCTTGTTCATTGTCCCCCCAGATTACTTTGATGCATGTATGGGAGAAAAATGAATATACATATATTAACGAGATCCAGCTAACTAAAGATTTAACGTATTCATTTGATTGTTTGAATGAAGAGTTCAATCGTATGAAACTCACCGCACGAATCGAGGCATACAAAAGTTTTTTTTTTCAATTCATGGAAATCACGAGAAAAATCATTGTCATGTTGAATTCGCTCGAAATGTTGTGCACTGTGAAACTTGAACCTCTAACCTATGAAGTTATCGGTAATAATACTAAGAAAATTCATCATTTAGTCTAATGTCAGATCCTTAATAACGATTTTTCAAATTAAAATTTAACAAGAACTTCATAGATTAAAATGGTCGACTTCGGGTTGTCTTCTGATTTTGTTGCAGTTTGATTGCATTGCTGCACTATCAGCATAGAAATTTGGAAATTGAAAGTAGGTATCTTCAAGCACCAATTTGAAATAACTGTAACTGAGCTATTCATCAGAAATTGGCTGGATAGCACAACGTTATAATATCCAACTCCAGCGCAGTCCCAAAATGTGTCAATCGGCACTGATAACACAACGATAACTTACATTTTGAGCCTGTTTAGCTTATTTTTTATTACTCGCTTTAGGAGAGCTATTAGTTGTATGGCCACTGACCGCGGCCACATAACTTCATTGCATGCTGTCTTTCAGTTCGTTAAGTCCTAACTTGGCATTTAGACGGTGTCCAACATAGTGAGTTTAAATGCTTCGCAGAACGGCCCCTTGGTGCTTGCTTGGGAAAATGTGGCAGACCCCGGAAGTGGTTAAATGTTGAATGTGCTGGAATTCTCTCTCAATCTCATCAAACGAAAATGCGGCGCTAAAATCGCGAGCCTCAGCAAATTCGCCCATTCATCATCCCGCGTTCCCCGTATCGTTACCACGTGACATTTCCCACGATAACGTAAAGGTTTCAGTTACGTGATATCTAGCAGTTACGATTTACTGCAGAGTAAATTGAGTGAGAATTAAGCAATTGTTTCATTAAGTTTGCAACAGGGCTCACTTGTGCTATGTGTAGTTAGAAAAATGGCTCTGGGGTATACAGCTTGAAGCTACAGATTTTACGGACCCTGTAGACTATTCTGTACCTACAATCCCACACTGTAATGACTTAAAAGTTTCGACAAGGTTATGCCTTGCCTAGACAGAAATACGAGGGTATACAGATGTATGATTGGAGAATCATACTTTCAAGGCTGTTTGTCATGCCTTGTCATGGTAGAAGTTACATTACTTTTCTTCGTATTGTTACTTCTGTTGGTTATGGTTTTGGTGTGATCTGGAGGGTTTTATAGTCCTTTTGTTTAAACGGTGATATGATATCTGGGAATGATATGCGAAGCCGGGCACGGTGCTGTCAGTGATTTTAATTTCAACGAAATCGCCTTCATCGAAATCTGTAGTGTAAACAACTAACTAAAATCAAATCAATTTTATCGAATGTTTAGTTGTACCTGCAGTGGCTGTCCGGCTGCTTTGACTAATGTGGGTGTTCCAACCAAGGCTGGCTCATTTTTCTGTAACATTTTCTCAAATCAGAGGCATAAACTTAATTTATTCAGACCACAAATGAAAGAGCACCCTGAAATGTATCAATGGAAAAAATCCGAAAATACCAAATGAGAATCAGTCGACACTGATTAACGCTTTTTGAGCTGTGCCCCACATCTGACTGCTCTTTATTAGTGTGACTTGAATGCCTACTCAGCTCATACATTGAGTAAGGCAAGCAGGCGTTACGCAAATTAGCATTTCTAAACAATCATAATTTAACCTATCAAATAATT